GATCAGGGGCCTGGAACATCTGCCCTATGAGGAAAGGCTGAGAGAGCTGGGTCTGTTCAGCCTGGAGAAGAGGAGGCTGAGGGGGGACCTGATCAGTGTGTATAAATACCTCAAGGGAGGCAGTGAGGAGGAGGGGGCCGGCCTCTTTTCAGTGGTGGACAGTGAAAGGACTGGAGGAAATGGCCACAAGCTGAGGCACCAAAAGTTCCACAGGAACTTAAGGAAAGATTTCTTGACAGGGAGGGTGACAGAGCCCTGGCACAGGCTGCCCAGAGAGGTTGTGGAGTCTCCTCCTCTGGAGATCTCCCAGACCTGCCTGGATGCCGCCCTGTGCGCCGTGCTCTGGGTGTCCCTGCTGGAGCGAGGCGTTGGACTGGATGATCTCTAGAGGTCCTTCCAACTTTGAGCGTTCTGTGATTCTAACAGATGAAATGTATTCAAGATGTTGAAAACCCCTTTTCCTTCCATTCAAACTTCTGTTTTCCTTTGATACTTTCAAAATCACACTTATTTTATTTCATTGATCCCTATTAAAATTTGTGTAGTTAGTCTTCTAGATGAAGTTTTTCACCGTTTTTTCCTTATTAATGTTTCAGACAATGTGTTTGGTGGATTCTGTCTGACTTTTCTCCATTTTATTCTTCTAACGGCAGGATCTCACTGAGATTTCGCTTTCATCCCTGCACTTCTTCCCTGACGTCATTCTATGTTTTTCATTATTATTTTTTCTGCCTTCAGGATGCCTTCTGTGGTAGTAACTCTACCTTTCATTTTCCCACTGGTGTTTTTGTTTTATCAAAATAACCTCTGGTAATGCTCCCGATTCCCCTGTGCTCTGTGAAGTGACAAAAGGAAGAGGGATATTATGACTCTATGTTATGTTATGACCCTATATGACCTAGTATATTATAGTATATTATATAATATAGCATATACTATATATATAGTATATATAGAGACACGAAAGAAAAAAAAATTTAGGGTTAGGGTTAGGTTAGGGTTAGGGTTTAGGGTTAGGGTTAGGGTGTAGACACACTATATATAGACACACATATAGTGTGTCTATATATATACTATACATACTATACATATAGTGTGTCTATATATTCTGTATAGTATAGTATATTATGTTATCACCCCTATGGCCTAGCATGTTATATTATGACACTTTATGACCTACTGTATTATAGTATATTATATAATATACGCTCTATAGTATATTATCTATACTCTCTCTATATACACTACATGTTATATAATATAGTATATTATGTTATGGCCCCCGTGACCTAGTATGTTATGTTATGACCCTAGTAATTCTGTGATTCAGTAGGGCACGTACATGGACTCCAGATGCCAATGGAGGATCCTAATGGATCATAATCCGTCTCTAACGGCCTTTGTATGAAACGTGTGGGATCCTGCGTGTGAGCACGCGTGGGGACAGTGAAGGGTGCCCGTTGGGAACGCGGTGGCCACCAAGGAGCAACAGCAAGAACATGCAGCAATGGTGGTTTGGCTTGGAAAAAACCAAACAAACGCTTCCCCTTCCCACCCTGCAAACAGTAACAACCGGATTTATTTAGACAGTTTATTTATTTTTATCTGTGGCTATGCCAGACTATCCCTGTGTTTTGGTTATGGAGCCTACTTAAAGTCAAGGACATAAAAGGAGCAGCTTTTTCTTTTCTTCTTTTAAGAAGATCTTAAGGCCTTGAAAACCCGCCTGGATGCCGCCCTGTGTCCCGTGCTCTGGGTGTCCCTGCTGGAGCAGGGGGCTGGACTAGATGGTCCCTAGAGGCCCCTTCCAACCCCGGAATTCTGTGATTCTGTGAAGATGCTGCTTTGTTTGTACCCATGGTATGGAGTAGATTCAAAGTGTCTGGAATGAGAGGCTGGTGATAATTAGAGAAAGAGCCGCTTTGTAAGGATTTACTCTCCAAAATTGTCGAAGGAAAGGCTTACGTTGAACCAAGGTTTTCATGAACCTCTCATGTGCTGATGAGTCTTGTGTTTTCTCTAGATGTGCCAAAAGATAGTTAAATGAATACAGGTTAAATGAATGTATCAAACACTGTCCTGACTGTTTCTATGAAGGCAGTTACAGTAGTTTCCAAAAGATTTTGCTAGCAAATGGAAGAGAATTTGAGACTTGGAGTAGTGAACAAAATGTGACAAAAAGAGCAAAAGTCTGGCATTTATTAGCAAAGTGATGTTCCTAATTTGTCATGGGAAATTCCTTGATGTGCTGAATTTAGCTGAGTAGTCCTCGTCCTTTTTTAGCTTAATGCAATGAATTATTTTGAGCTAATGCCAACAGATTATGGAGAATGGCAGTAAAAGGATTTATTTTTAAATACCTGGTTTTTGTAAAAGAAAACATATTACAAATTTATGTGAAAAAAAATGTGTTTTTTGTAGGTAATCATTGAATGGGACTCCAGAAGCAGGTTGCTGAGACTGACAGAAAAGTGAGTATGCAGGTGTTCGTTATTTTTCATAGAAAATGTACTCTGCTGATTAATAAACCCTTACTATGATTTTTGATCATCCGTATTAATCATTATTTTTAAATCGCTTCAAAGATCTGTTCTCAATTAAGTATTTTTCTTGTGCGAGATTAGGGTAGATAATCTTACATATCCTTCCCCTGACTATGTCCTGCTCTTTCTTTCTTTTATCAATTATTTTTAGTAGCTAAGGCAAAAGGGGAATTAGCAAAGTATGATTCTGGCGTTTTCTTTTCCATTTTCAGCCACAGACATTGCACAACTGGGGAGTTAAGTGTGTCTGCAACTGTCAGAATATTCTTTGGCTCCTCCAGTTTGTGTCATCTGACGCAGCATGACAAAAATCTCATGGTGCTGGTTGTATTTCCCCCTGAATATAGTTATTATTTTTGATTCAAAAGACACATTATTTTTCTAGGAAGAGAAGCTCTTTTGTTCTGCCAGATACCAATTTAAAACAGGAAAAATGACATGTATAGAATAAATTTAAATCACTGATGCATCATGGAGCTTTGTCGCAACTGTTGGAGTGATGTGTCATGTTAATCTGTTTCTGTATGGTCAACCAAAATTATAGCATTACATTAAAAAGCAGGAATTGTTCAGTCTTGTAACAGAGGAGCTGAAACTTTTAAATATTTCCCCTGATTTTAGCTGAACAATCTCCATGTTTTTGTAAGGTATGTCTGTGTGAGATTGGTGATAGAGCTGGTATTTGGAAAATGCTTGAATTACAATAGGACTCTTGTAAGTATCTGTAATTAAACTGACTATGTTACTCTAATTCCCAGTTCTTGCAAAAATCTGAGTTTTATTTTAAAGAGAGCATAGCACAAATCTGTGCAGGGTTAAGCAGTGTCTGCCACAGGTATTGGCCTGAGTTAAAACCACTTTCAAACTGTGCCAGATGGTCACTGCTCAGGTTTGTTCTGTGTGCAGAATGTAAATGGCTCTTTCAATAGCCTGGTGTATCAAAGTTGTGCCAATCAAACTGGGTCTGTTATCTCTTACAGAGCTGTTAACCTCCTACAGAAGAGGTTAACATGGACTCTTTGCAATTCAGATGTTTAAGGAATGATGTTATCAGAATTTTGATTTCTAGCTTTTTTTTTTTCCTGACTGAAATTCTCTAGTTATTTTCTGTAAATAGGTAGGTTCAATTTTCAAATAATTTAAAAAGGAAATGTATGTACCGAGCCAGTGCTTAATATCTTGCCACGGGAGATGCTGGCGAGTGTTTTTTCTCTGCTGGCTGAGTTTTGGCTTCTCACAGAGGCTTTGGTTTTGGTTAATGCTCTTTTTCTTGTCCTTAGTGGCGTATCGGAGAGACGAGATGTGGTCTGAAGGGCGATACGACTACGACAGATTTCCAAGAGAACGCTTTCCTCCCAGGATTCATCCTGATGCAAGTGCACACTATGTTTCTGTAGGACTGGGCTTATATAACTGTAGGGGCTGGGTTTCTATAAATAATTGGGTTTCTAGTAATCCTGAACATATTTTCTCCTTCCTCCTCTTCTGTTCCTCTCTTGTTCATTTAAGCCAAAAATCTAGCAAATGAGTCTGCACAGAGATGATATGATGCCTGCCCAAGTAGACCTTGTATGTTTTTCTGCCCAAATCCCTTAAAAATATGAGATAAATTCTTATCTTATGTTCAGATAAATTGATATTTAGTTTAATTATGTGTAATCGCACACAATTATTTTGAAGAATTTGTGGGAGGACCAAAAGCAATAGCATATTGAAGTTTTCACTCAGAACTATTCTTTTAATGTTCATGCATTTTTGAAGTGATTTGAGATGGTAAAATATCTACTTCCAGCACTGTACTTGTTACTAGTGCCATTTTTAATGCCATGTTTAACGATTAGAAACAAATGTTGGTAACAAACTTCTAAAATAGGTATTTACTAGCCAAGTGATATTTTGGAGCCTTGCAAGTGAAAAGCTTGCCAAGAAGAGTGTTGATGGAAATCTGTTTTGGAGGCATGAGGACTTCACTATACGTTGTATTTGCAAAAGTAAAAAATACACAGTCTGGTGTTGCTCTTTGCTAGGTTAACTTTAGAATGCTTTGAGAAAGTCACCGTGTTAAAGAAGTAGATGAAATAATGTTTTTTTTTTCCTCTCCTTTGTATCTGTGTGAGATCACTGAAGAAGAGAGAAAATGGGGTTGGAATAACAAAATTGCTGCATTTTCAGTATACTAGAAGTCAGCTAAGTTTGCACAAAAATATTTAGTCAGGTGCTTCTCCAATCTCCTTAGGAAGAGAAGGAGGATGTGCAGCTCCTGCTCGTATGGCTCTGCACCTGCTTGGCAGCTTCTTTCCTTGGAAGCCTGTTCTGTTGTGGCTGTTTGTGCATATAAAATGTGTTTGGCCAGACAAGCAAAGTAGCATGGATTTAGTCATCAGTGCAGTGTGTCTTATGAACACTTCAGTGTTTGCTGGTGGATTGGTGTGTTGGGACTGAGGAAGCAGTGTCTCTCTTTCAAGAGAGCAAGGGACTTGGCCAAATCCAGTGTTACCTACTATATCGGCATGGTCTCCTGAAGTGGGTTTTTGAGTAAGGTTAAAGCACAGAGCAATTTTGCTTTAGCTTCAGATCATACCTATCCTTTCAAACTGAAAAAAAAATATTTTGGGAGATGCTCAACTTGGTGAGGGTTGATTAAGGCTCGTGACTGTAGATCTGCACATAACCTCTGCTTTGTATCAGTGTGGCTTTCGGCTGCCTTACATTGCCCTCTAGTGAGTTTACTAGGTCTCTGAAATCAGAACTTAAATTTATTTTATTTTATTTTATTTTTTGCAGGATAATATTTAGCAGTTCTTTAATTGAACACTTTTTTTTTTTCTGAAAAAGAAAGGTTAGTTTAGTTAGTTTATGATTTCTGCAACTAGGAAAAAGTTCTATTTTGTGCACATTTTTTTTCCCACCTTCCAAACTGCACGTGCTGATTCAAGCCTGCAGTTTCTATCTTCAGTTTTCTAAGATGTATGAGAAAAGATCATGTTAAAGGAAGATGACTTAAAAGATAAGCACTTGTGTTTGTTTTCCCTTGCTTTTTTTTTACTTGTGATTTAGTTTATATAATACACAGTTCTTTGAAAATAAGTTTATTTTTCTAGTAATTTGTGCTTACTAAGGAAGAGATGTCTTTGGTAAATGGTGTTTGATTTTTTTTTGAAGGAAATAGAATAATTCTGCATCACAGCAAAGAACTATCAAATACATGTGGAAAAGAAAGGATGGAATGTATAGGAAAGGTCTGTCTGTTCAGCCCATACGCTGTCCTCACTATAATCTCCATAGTGTGGTGGATGTTACTGACAAAGTGTAACATTTAAATGTAGCTCTTGGCTTTATAACCATTTCAGGTGTAGCTTTACTTACTGCATTCTGTTCTTAAGTTAATGGTGAAGGTGTCTGAGAAATATATGTCGCTGAAGCTTTAAAAAGAAAAGGACTAATGGTTTTGCTCTGTGATTTCAAAAGAATCTTTATCTACATTTGGGATTTTCCCTCTATAAGTTAAGCTAGTAGTGCTAAAGGGTTGCATCTACACCTAATGGCGTCCCGTTAGAGCAGTAAGCTATTCCAACATCAGATTGACCTGTCTTGTCTAATGTTCAATGCGTATTGTTCCCTTTGCTATTTTAACTTTAGATTCTTACTTTCCAATATTTAAGAAATAGTTTTGTTGTCGTTTAGGGGTTTTTCTTGTGCTTTCGCAGTTACTGAGGCCCTAACGATTTCCCTCGCCCCGTGGTTTAGGATGACTACCACAGGGTAGTGAACATGGTGCCCAAGAAGCCGCCTCTGCTCGAGAGGCCGGGGGACGGCAGCTACGGCCGCTACGACGACTACAGCGCCGGCGACTACAGAGCCTACGAGGAGGGCCGCAGCCTGGCGCACGAGCGCCGCAGCGGCCCCGCGCACCGCGGCGCCCGCAAGGTCGCTCCCCGCCGCTCAGCGCCCCGCGCCCTCCCCTCCCGCTAGGCCCTCAGCGCTGAGCACTCACTGCAGCGCTCGGGGAGCGATAGAGAAGAGCAGCCGGGTTTTGCTACTGCTGTGCTGCTGTTGTGCTCCTGAGGCGCTTGCGGTCGGTGATGCCGTGGCTTGCTGCTGCTGTGGTTCCTAGCTCCTCTATGGACGTGGAAAGGAAGCCTTCTCCAGTTTTCTGGAGAGCTCAGAAAGTCTCGTCTGGGAAAATGGACATTGCTAGAAGCCCAGGCAAATGCAGTGGGAAGTTATCTACGTGAAATAGATTGCGCTTTTTTTTTTCGTATAGAACAAGTCCTTCTATGCAGGACTTGTTGAATTTCTCTTTTGCAGAGATATTCACTGATCTAAATTCTGCCAGGATGTTGGTTACATTGTCTTCCAGAAGCTACATTTAGGTAGAAAAAAAAGTGTTTTTTTTTTTTAAAAAAAAGCTTATGTTTGCTGCTTCCTCTGATTCCGATAAGAATTTACACTACAATGATGAGATTCTTCCTCCTCCCCGAAAGTCAGGAGTTCATATGCATATTTGTGAGAAAACAGAAATCTTCATCGTTCTTAGTGTTTCATACAGCATTTCAAGATACTTGTGGTGCTTCTTTTCTTTTCATAATGACAGAAAAGAACAAAAAAGAAGTGGTTGGAGTGAACAAACAGAATAAATCTCTCTGCAAAAGATTAATTCTTTTAACTTATTCTACACTAAATCAGTAACATGTGACTGCTAACTGTATTTCATATCTGATGCTGAGATGCATATCACACATCAAGCTCTGTATGTGTTGCAGGATGAATCAGGATACAGATGGCCAAGGGATGATCATTCTATAAGTCGGCAGCCCGAATACAGGTATGTTGTAAACCTTGACAGCGGTGCCCCACAGAGGGCCATGTAGGCTGGAAAACTGCCTCTGCCAATCTCCTGCTCAAAGCAGCCCAGTTAGGATCCTCTCTAGATGAGCTTTGAATTTTAAATCAAGAAATTTCTGGGAAGCTTCGTTTTAACAGCAAATGTGCTGTCCTTCCCCCTGTGATAATCACCGAAAAACTGCTTGTCCATCTTTGTTGCCATAGTCCTTCAAATAAAATACGAGGTTTTATATGCTACTTTTACAAAATTATATTTTAATGTACATGTAAATATTACTACCTGCAGTAAGCAATAAAATGAATGCTCTACATTTTTTCAGTAATCTTAAAAAAAAAAGTTCTATAGACTCTGACAAAAACGTGTTGCAAGCTGTAAGTCTACTTTGATCATAGTCTGCCTTGACATCTAGAGAGGTCACATATATATCATGTACTTATGGTCACTTACGCTTTGAATGTAGAAACAGAGAAGATCTCCTGTTTCAACCTATCAAACTGTTTACTTGTTCTTTAGGAGTTCCTTTTTTTTTTTTTTTTTTTTTTTTGGTAATGCATATTTTGTTCTAACACTCAGTGTCAACAAAACTGTTCTCACTGTACCTGTTTTAAATACTGATCTGTTTTTAAATACTGATTTTCTGATCTGTAGTATCAAAAGAGTTCACAGACAGAGCAGTAAAATGACAGGGGTGTGGAAAAGGCTGGATATTTCCATAAAACATATTAATTGATGTGACCACCGTTTTTATCTCTGCCTCAAATTCCTCTCTGTGGAATGTTAGGAAAGTATTAAACAGTAGGACTGTAGCGTACATATGTTTGCAATGATGTCTGATATGGGACTGTTTGATATGATAAATGGAGACTCAGACTCCATTGTCCAGCTGATTGTTGGTAAGTTGTGGTGGAGAGTCCTCAGTGCCAGTCAGGCTGGTGTCCCTGTCCCCCTTAATGCCACCACTGGGCTCCTGCTGGTGTCCATATCCTGTATTTCCACCTCCCAAGACCTTTGCTGCATTTCTGGCCTGACCAGGCCTGCATTTCTGTGGGCTGCATCACTGGGGTCACAGAATCCCTAAGGCTGGAAAGGACCTCTGGAAGTCATTTAGTCCAACCCTCCGGTACACACAGGGTCACCTGGAGCACGTGGCACAGGGCAGGATCCAAGCAGGTATGGAAGACCTCCGGAGAAGGAGACTCCACAACCTCTCTGGGCAGCCTGTGCCAGGGCTCTGACACCCTCACAGTTAAGAAATTTTTCCTTAAGTTCCTGTGGAACTTTTAGTGCTTCAATTTGTGGCCATTTCCTCTAGTCCTATCAGCGTCCATTGTAAATACCATGTTCTACATAGACCAGCTCCTTGTTGCTGTAACCTATATGAAGTTAGGGTTGTATCATGCCAAGATAAGAAAAGGAAAATGCATTAGCTATAAACGCCTGGTCAATTAAGGGAAGTAGCTTTTTCACCTACATCAAATAAAATAAAACTGCAGGCAGGCCAAGAAACAACCTCAGGGCGGAGGCTCTGCGAGCTCCATACAAGGCCTGTAGCCTGTTTCAAGCAACAGCAATTCCATCCTACAGGGCTGCACAATTGCAGTGTATCTCTGTCCTTTTGAATATAACACTTTAAACAGAGCATTCCTGGATTGTTACATAATTTCCCAGGAAAAGAGTTGCGTAGTGTAAGGTTCTTCTCTCAAGCTTGTTTCACTGAGCCTGGGAGCAATAGTAAAGGGTTTCAAAAAGTAGTTTGTGTTGTGTAGAAACTTGTGGGAAAACTCTTTCATCTTCTCTCCTCTTTGGGAGGGTTAGTTTAAGCCTAGTTTCGGCCAGGCAGTTGATTCTGCACAGAACAAGAGTGGCCCCCAGTGGTCAAAGAGATTCTCCTACGCCTTTCCTCTTGGTTTCTTCTGTTAAAAATGAGAGGATAAAATCTCAGCCTGTTGTGTTGGAGCCATGTCTCCTGTTTGAGTCTTTAGAATGTATGACTGGTATACAATAGTTATAAGAATATGAAAGAACTTTGTAGAGATACTTGGTTCAGTTGAGGATGTGGAGTGGAAATGTATTTATAATTTAATCAAACCTTTACTGATTCATTATCTAAATGCACTTCAGCATGTCCCACATCTGGCTGAACAGAAGAGAACAGGAATATTGAATATTCCTGGATATCAAATCCTGTGATGAGGCTATTGAACACTTGTATACTTGCATGCTTGGAAATAATAGGGATTGTTTTTTGCGTATTGTTTGTGTAGTGGATCTCAACAGAGGAAATCTAAGTGCAGTCCTCAGTGTATGTTATCTCCTGTGGTGACAACTCTTAATTATCCCTTGTCCTGAAAACATTTACATTGTAAAACATAAGATTTGGTAATGATTATGTAGGACCAAGCTATCTCTTTGGATGTGATGAAAGCCATTCTCTGCAAGTTCTCAGGGAGTGCGTCTGAAGTGCCTTTTTCCTTTGAGGTAAGAAAAGGAGACATAAGCTATTTTTTAAATACAAATATGAGCCATTGCTCCTGTTTTGAACCGTGGTAGGTGAACAACTATCTTGTCATAATGTCATACTTTATGTATAAAAAAAAATGGAGGATGGGCTGGGCACAGGATTCAAAAAATATTCCCCAATTTCCAGTGCTGAGCTAAGGAACTCTTCTGAATTTGTGCATTGTGCATCAAACCAGAATTCCTTCACCTTGGTGAGCGGAGAATTACTTGCACACAGGACGGTCATTTTAATGCTTTAATCCCTGATGCTATAAGAACTGTGAAATTTAAGTTATGAGTGGAGCAGAGCTCAAATAACACATGACTTTTTTTGTACGTTTATCATATACTGCCTGTGATGTTGATTGCTCTTCCAGGGCTGTGCTATTACCTGTCTGTAATGTTATGTGACCTGGGTTATTTGAAGCACTTGACCCTGTTCTTTTCATGAGTGTCACATTGTTGGAAAAACTGCAGGGAGCTGTTGACGACCTGTAGTGATACAGCCCTTCCCTCTGGGCCTCCCAGCAATGGGTTTTATGAACTGCCTCCTTGTTTGGAATTCAGATAAACACTTCTGTGTGAAATCCTTCAGGAGATTAGCTGTTTCATTTTAGTCCTACTGCCTTTTACCTTTTTTGAGTCCTCAGAGGATTACTTCATCTTGTTTTCACCAAACAGAGCTCATTTGTTATCAAATACATGAAGCTTGGCGGTGTAAAATGGGTAATACTCGTACTCAAAGAGGAACTGGAAAGTGATGCTATTGTAAATTCCAGTTATATGTACATTAACTTTTCTATTTAAACTTACCCAAGGTCCAGATTTTTTTAAAGTAAAGATTGCAATATGTGCAGACAAAGTGTTCTGAATAGAAAGTAGTGGCAGTTGATACCACCTAGACTCCTGACGAGTGGCTCACACAGGAGACTCTGAATATCTCCCCTTTAGTTATTGCTCTGCATATATTCTCGTTTGCTAATGAAGAAAATTTGCCGTAAAGCAACAACAACAAAAGAAAATGGAGCAGTGTGTGTGAAGATAGGATATAGTCTTAGTCAGGGTCTTAATGCACCTGGTTATATAAAACGGACCTATTGATCTGCAGGGCATCAGGCATATTGCTTATTGTTTATTATACAAAAAGGGATAGTAGAAATAAACTTGTCTGAGGAAAATGCTGAGACTTCCATTTAAGCAGCCAGTCATCTGAGAACAGCTGAGATTGTTCTCCCAGTGCAAGAGGGACGTGGAGCTTCTAGAGAGGGTCCAGCAGAGAGCAACCACGCTGATCAAGGGAGTGGAGCATCTCTTGTACGAGGAGAGACTAAGCAAGCTGGGCCTGTTTAGCCTGCAGAAGAGAAGGCTGCGAGGGGATCTAATTAACATGTATAAGTTCATGAAGGGGGAATGTAGGGAGGAAGGGGCCAAGATGGACTAGATGATCTCTAGAGGTCCCTTCCAACCTCAGCCATTCTGTGATTCTGTGGGATTCTTCAGTCCTGTATTTTGATTTTTTTAGAATCAGTGGCTCATTGCCTTTCATCTGAGTGCCCTGTGTGACTTTCTGAACATTAAGCTTCCCATTACGTCCTTAGGGAGGTAAAGTATTAACATCCCCATTTTTGTGGAGAGATCCAACCTTCCCAGTGAGATTAATGTGTTTACTAAAGGTCATGGAAAAAATTGGTAGCCAGTTGGAGGATGGAAATCAGCAATCCTGGCTTTCTTGTCTCTACTTGAGCTGCTGTTTCATTCACTGCTTCACCTCCTCCTGGAGCAGTATGTGATGATAGGATATTCTAGAGGAAGGCTTTGCATTAATAAAATAATTGTTCTTTGGTAAGAACGGCTGCTTTAAAATGAAGCCCTTGGCAAGAGGTTCTTCATATAGGAGCTAATTGGTAACTTATCCCTTTTCTCAGAGAAGCAGGATTTAATATTCCGGTTCTCTGAGAGGTTTTTTCCAGACACATCACAGGCCAAGGCAGTTATCTTTGCGTCATCCCTTGTGCAGTCAGCTCTGAATCAAAGAATAAGGATTGGGTTTTTTTTTTTTCTATTTTTTTTTCCTAAGTATTTCCATGAATTAAATGAAACAGTGAACCTATTTTGAATATTTTATGTTCACTTATAACACAGCGTATTGTAGGAAAGTTTAAATTTAACCTGACGACCTCCCACAATATAATGTAAACTGATCTTTGTCTTGCTTATAGAAGAGAAACTTAGCCAAAGGGATTTATGAGATGGTGCTAAAAGTGTCCATAAGTCTGCTGTTCTGTTGCCATATTTGACAGGTCTTAAGGGACGCTATACAAGAACCTCATTCTTTATTAAAAAGTATGTGTGAAGGGAAATCAATGTAGCAGTCTCCCAAAGAAAATGGCCTTGCTTTTGACAGGGATTGATAAATAGAGTTCTAATCATATTTGTTAGCACGTGCTCTGCTTTTTTTTTTTCCTTTTTTTGAGGAGAGG